CACACAGCCTTCATCCTCTCACCCACACCTCTTGCGTCACTGTGCTCCCCTGCCCCACCTTACACCCCCCCACCCCACCGCGTGCACCTCTCCCTCTGCCTCGCGCCCCCTCACCCGAGCGTGGGGGCCCTTCACCCTGGCACAGCCCCCCCGCTCCCCTCACCCGCGGCAGTGTGGCACCCCGGGCACCGCTGCCTGCAGCCACCCCTCTCCCTGCCCTCAGGGCGCCTGCCTGCGCTGAAGACGCGGGACGAGGGCACCATCTCCAAAACGCAGCAGATCATAACTCACCTCAGGAAACAGGTAGCGGGGGGTGAGGGGCACCCCCTGCCCCGGGCTGGGGGCTGGAGGGCACCAGAGTCCCCCTGGGAAGGAGTGGGCTTTTGTCACAGTCACCCAAGAGGCACGGGCAGGATTTGCCACTTCCCCGCCGGATCACGCCCGTTGCGTTTGTGCTGCAGAAGTATAACGCCGACTATGACCTCTCAGCCACGCAAGGGGCGGACACGCTGGCCTTCGTGTCCCTGCTGGAAGAGAAACTGCTGCCGGTGCTGGTGAGTCTCCCTGTGGAAACATCTCAGAGGGGCACACGGGGAAGGTGGTCTCGCCGAGGACTGGATCTGCTCCCTGGAGCTGTGCCGGTGGGCTCAGGTGTGCAGCCGCCTTGCCAGGAGAGCCAGAGAATGTTGCAGGCAGCCAAATCCCAGTGGCCTGGAGCATCAGTAGCAGGGATCAGGGTGCTGGGGGTCTTGGGTGGCAGCGGTGGGTTGTGCAGCCAGGGCTGGGGTCTGGCCTTGACCCTGATGCTCCCTCAGCCCCTCACGGTCTCCGGGGCAGCCAGTCCTGTGCCGGGCACGTGGTGCCTGTGTGAGCAGCGCCGGCCACGGACTCTGCAGCGCCTGCCACGGCAAAAGGCTGCGGCTGGCTCCAGCCCCGCCATGGCCTGGGCATGGATTGTTCTCCACTGCAGATCCACACCTTCTGGGTGGACGCAAAGAACTACGTGGAGCACACGCGGAAGTGGTACGCGGAAACCGTTCCCTTCCCCCTGAACTTCTTCCTGCCCAACTGCATGCACAAGCAGCACCTGGAGCGGCTGCAGCTTATGTGGGGAGATGGCTACATGGAGGATGAGGAGAAGCTGGAGAAGGAGGTGAGGGGATGTGGTCTGGGCATGGCAGGTCCTCGGCAGGTACCCAGAGGGACCCACGCGAGGCCAAAACCTTAATTGGGGTCTGGGGTTCACCCTGGCTGAGCACCCCCTTCCCGCTCCCCTTAGCACCATGGCAGTCTGCCGCGTGGCCGGGTGGGTGACAACCCTCTGTCCTCCTTCTCCAGCTATACCGGGATGCTCGTGAATGCCTGACACTCCTGTCCCAGCGCCTCGGCTCCCAGAAGTTTTTCTTCGGAGACTCGTAGGTGGCCATAAGGGGAAGGTGCTCTGGGGCCTGAGAGCCTCCTGCACCTAGGCAGGACCGAGACCCCATGGTCTGCGGGGAAGCCGCAGCCCATGCACGTCGCTTTGGGGGTTGGACAGGCTTGCAGGGGACAGGGCTGTCCATGGCAGCACGGAGCGACGTGGGCGGCAGGAATTAAGGCTGCAGGAGCTGCCGCCAGCCCTGGC